GAATCACATCGGTGAAACATCAGTGCTTGACCGGCAACTGGCTTTTGCAGGTTGCAGATTCCTCTGACACACTGCCTTTGGACTCCGCCAAAACCACATCATCACATTTGCAGTCGTGCGAGATCATCTCCAAGCGCTTGTAGTCCCATGCCGGCATGTAGCTTTCAAAGTGGAACAGCATGCAGCTGAGGCACCTTTTTTCGTCCACATAGCACTGAAGGGATTCCACATAGCCCTCCTTCTTGGGATTCGACATGATCGTCAATCAAAATTTCAAACCAAATTGATCTTGGGGGACAATGGCTGCAGCTGAAGCAAGACAATTCTAACAGCAGGCAAACCACTCCAAGACTGGATGTAAGAGGCTTTCACTGAAGACTGAGGCGGCTGCATGGTGATGGTTCTCTTTGTCGCAAACAACCTGACAGAATTGAAGAATTGTTCATTTCTTGGCTTGGCTTTCAACCGCAACATGTGCCATGCCAGTTGCCCACTCATGCACTGACACAGATTTGTCAGGCAAAGTTTCACTGGATGACTTTGCTGTGCACATGACACTGTTTCCTTTTGCACTCTGATGGTTCATAGAGTTGTACAGCACCATCAGGTTTTTATAAGGAATCTGCAAGTCAAGCAAACTCTCAATTAATTGTGTACAACAGTGTCACTTCATTGTGCACGAAACTGTCATCACAATAAATCAATTGTGTGTTTTGAGTCACAGAGGCAGAGGTAGGCGCATTGTCAGTGTCACTGACCTAATTGGCAAAAGGACTCGACACCGATTCGAGGAGTCAGAGTTTCAGGCCGGATCGTGCTCGTCCTCGGATTCAGAGGACTGTTTCAACAGCATGTGTAAGTATTCGTTCTCTGAGTCTGATGTTTCGTCACACACTTCATGTCTGTACATTGGCTCATCATCACTCATTGCATGGGCTTCGTCTTCGTCCTCATCCTCTATATCCTCATTTTCGGGAACTTTGTCTTCCTCTGGGTCTTCATCCTCTAGATCCTCATCTGCTTTACAATGATAAGGGTCCAGTGACTCCTCAGACGCTGACGACTGCATCAGAACCTCGTCCAACTTCAGAGCCATTGCTTCCAATTCTGCCCGCATTTTTTGTTTGGGCAAGAGTTCTCAGGGGTCCAATCCCGAAAAGTAAGGAGCTCCTCCACGTTTGAGAACGGTTGTGTGTAGCCAGTGGCTCTCGAAAGCATGAAAACAGATGAAAACCACCCATGCAAGAATCCGATCATCGTCAAATCTCGTGTAATTGCCGGCTCGGCACAATGTAGAAGCCACTTGATGTTCTTGTTATAATGCTTCCTGGTCAGATCCGCCTTGCGCTGCAAGTCCTCCGAGGCAAAAAATTCCGGAGACCATACCCAAAGAAGCCCCTCAACCAGGTCTCCAAGTTTCTCTTCGCCCCAAGGATAGGCTCTGCGAAATCCAGGCAGAAGCAACTCCAACGCCATTGTGTATAACGCATTCCCAGTATCATGCGGTTGCCCATTGTAGTACAGGCAGCCTCCGTGAGATATGTGTTTTCGAAATTGTGATGGGTAGTCAGCCAAGCCCTGGAACACACTCCGAAACCTGCGCTGAAGTTGGCCTGAATCTGCTCTCAAAAGATCAATCATCTGGGCCACAAATAGTGTTGCCGACCGCACTTCACGTGGATCCACATACAGGTTCTCCAGGACATTGCCACAGTCACGGCAACAATTGAAGTAGTGCCGAATTGGCGTTTCAGCTGTTTTCTGGTACCACTGGGATTTCCTCCAGTATGAATGACCCAGGCAACGCTTGCAAAAAGGACACTCCATCGCCACCAGGAAAAGTCACATGCGAAAAATGCTATTTGCGTTTGGCCTCAGCAGCCACCTCTCAATTCTAAAATGCTGCAATTGTGACAATTGAGACTCAATTGTGAAAGTGTTCATCCAGTAGCATGGGAATCCAAAGCGTAACTACTGTTCGGAGCAGTTCTGAGCTTTGACACCAACAGCTGCAAAAACATGAATCTATGACCAGACGACTGACTAACACAACATTTTCATCGACAACTCACCAGTGAGATCGATGTCACTGCCTCCTGCAACTCGAGGAACTCCAGCACCTGAGCACATTGGAAGCTGTATGATATGATATTATATTATGGTGGCAGCCGCAAAGTTGGAAGATGCGCACCCAAAATTTCAGCACCCCACAATTGGAATAAGACACATCTTCCAACTTTGGATTCTTCCAAGTTTGCAACCTTCCAACTTTTGATTACCGCATGAACCGCTCCAAATGCCGGGACCTAAAGTTGGAAGATGGGACCAACCAGACCCAATGTTTAATTGCAGTTTCTCCGTTTCTTTCTCTACAATACTGGAGTAATTGCAGTTTCTCTCCCTCTGCAATACTGGAGCTGCCATGGTATTTGCAGCTTCTCTCTTTCTGCAATATTGGAGCGGTCGTAGTAACTGTGCAACACTGGAGCGGTCCTAGGAATTGCAGTTGTTTCTGTCTGCAATATTGAAGTGGTTGTAGTATTTGCAATTTTTCTCTCTGTGCAATACTGGAGCGGTCGTAGTATTTGCAGTTTTTCTCTCTCTGCAATACTGCAGTGGTCGTAATACTTGCAGTTTTTTTATCTCTCTCTCTCTCTCTCTCTCTCTGCAATACTGGAGCGGTCGTAGTAATTGCAGGTCCTTCTTTCTGCAATACTGGAGCAGTCGTAGTACTTGCAGTTTTTCTTTCTTTCTGCAATATTGGAGTGGTCGTAGTAATTGCCGTTTCCCTCTCTCAGCACTACTGGAGCGGTCGAAGCAGTTGCGGTTTCTCTCTCTGCATTACTGGAGCTGCTTCCCAAAAACCGAAAGTTGGAAGATACCGTTACCGCATCAACCGGTCCAAACGCCGGGACCTAAAGTTGGAAGATGGGACCAAGTCAAACCCAAAGTTGGAAGATGCCGTTGCCGCATCAACCGTTCCAATTGCCGCCTTCCAACTTTCCGGCGGCGCCTACTGTATGTGTTTCTGTGTGTGTGTGTGTGCTTGGGCGATAGCATGAATTAACTTCAAACTGACTGACACGGAATTGTCAGAGTCTGTGTGAGTCGAGGAGAATGAACCAATCAGAAGAGCTGGAATCAGCTGAGTAGATTCACTCAACCACATCACCAGCTGAGTATGGTACTTAGTGTACGAGCACCAGAAAGTGCCATGGATGAAAGCTCAACATCTCATTGGAGCTTTCAGCTCAGTCAGCCGGGCAGTCAGCTCACTTCAAGTCGGGTCGAACAGTTCCAGTGGCGGCCGCTCTGTCGAAACGGATGGCGGGTGTGGCTGGGACATTTCGTTTCCTGTAGCCAGCACAAGCTCACTACTTCACCACATTTGAGTTTAAGGACTTGCACTGTCCCCGAACACGGACAAGTTGCCCACACATTGTCTCAGCCAGCTCGTACTCTGTTGTCTCTCACCATGGCGCATCAGCATGTTCATCCTTGGCACTACAGATATTGATTGATTCATGTGAGTCTGAGTCTTAAAGGGATGTAATGGTGCACAATGAATCAATGAACAGTTCAAGCGGCATGAGCTTGACCTGGCGCTGCAATGGGAAATCGCGATGGGTGGCCACGTGGAAGAACTGGTCCTTGACATCCTCAGGGATATAGTAGTCCTCCAAGATCTCCAGCCTCAACTGTTTCATATAAACAATACAACACTGTAAACTGCATGCAAATCCCTGCCAGGCTGCATCACAGGGTCTCTGTCGATGGTAGGGACTACTTCTTCATCGTGCTCCTCTTCTTCCTCCTCTTCCGCCTCCTGGTCGATTTGCTCCTGCTCAGCCTTGTAGGGCTCCGACTTCTCAGGAAGACACGGATTCCACGCTGTGAGGTCCGCCAGCGCACCGGCAGGTGCCAGTGGAACACTGTGCTCAACTGCTGACATGAATTGAAGTTCCACAAGTTTTGGCTGCAGCCTCTCCCACACAGCATTCGCCAAACTCGACACCATGTTCTCAATTGAAGATCGAGCTGAACTGTTGATCGGCAGTGCAGCACCACCACCTAGGAATGTCTGAAAGCATTCCCCAACAGCCATCTCACATGCCGTCATCATCGGAAGTGTTGGGTTTGCTGGCGCCGGCGGAGGAAAGGCAGGTTGAACTGGATGTGTTGCTGCCAGTCGTGCATCCCTTGGATGTAACGGACGAGACTTGGGCGGATCTTTCGGTTCCGGCACACCCTCTGGAGAATCAACCTCAACCACTGACACTGGCGGCTTTGGCGGCTTTGCAGCCGGCTTTTTCGGCTTTGCAGGCATGCTTTTCGTAAGAGGTGCTGGCTTTGTTTTTGCCGTTGCCCCTACTTCTGCTGATGCCATTTTTTTTGCTGGCGGTCTTGCTTTTGGTGGTGCTCCTGCTTTTGGTCCTGCCCCTGGCTTGTCTGTTGATGCTGTTGCGCTGGCTTTTGTTTTTTTTGCTGGTGATGCTTTTGGATCATTGGTCCAAACTGAAGGAAGCCACTCTGGAGCGGGCACTGGTGGCCTGGCAAAAGCCGGAGTAGCAGAACTGGAGGATGCAGGATCACCACCCCCTCTTGTGGCGTCATCGACATCTGTCTCCGGGATCTCACGCGGAGCATTTCGTGCTCTTTTGGCATCTGGCAGCACCTCAAATGCTTTGCATTGAAGACGACACACACACACACACACTCAATTGAGGATGTCAATTGTGACTGAAATGTTATTATTTATTCTTGAAGCTGAAGCGAAAATGCAGTGTTGCTCCCAGCTGCTGCTGCTGCAGCAGTTCCTCTTGACTTCGTCTTCTGATTTCGCTTCTGAAGCTTCTGAAATGTCGTGGCAGGTAGGTCCACGGGATGTTCCTGCTTGTCCTTCTCCATTCTTGTTTTCAAGTTCCTGAGTCAAAGTGGTACGTGTTGGCACTACAGGGCAGACTGCAAATCAAATCAATGCGGAATTCGAGTCCAGGCACATCTGAATGGAAGCCCAATCAGTCTGCCCTGCAAATTGGTCGGTCCATGTGTTCCAAGCATTTTGCAATGCTGCCTTCCATTCATCCGACGACCAACCAATGGACGGCAGGAGATGCTTCTGCCTCCTGATGCACACTTTGGCAGAACCATGGATTGCATTTAAATATTTACATATTACAACCTCAAAACAACATTCGAAAATCTGAAGCTGCTCAGCGACACGTGATGGCCATTGGCGAAGTCGATAATGTGCTGTTGATCGGCAGCGATGGCTCTGTAATCTTCCTTTCTGTGCTTCTGGACTAAAGTGTCGAACCATGCGACGCATTCGATGCCACAGACCTGCACTGACAGCTGATACTTACAAAAACTAGACAATTGAGTGTCACCTGGACCAATGAGTCAGTTCAGCACAGCGACTTGGAAGAGAGCCATGACCAACGCAATCATGGCACACGTCCTGTGCCATCCCGCCGAACAGCAGATCCTGACAATTGAAGGACCACATAGGAGGGTTATAAATTATCCTAGTCCCTGAACCTAAAAAAAACCTCCAAGACCTTCAGCATTCAAAGACTCGAGAAGCCTGAGCAACTTGTCGGGAAAATTGAGGATGAAGTGGAGCGTCTTGAGCGCTGCGGGATGACTATACACCTCGGTCATTAGGGTGAATTCTTATTAAAATTAAAATTAATTATTATACAACTCGATTCATGAAGCAACACCTGTTCGACCAGGCACCTGTTCCATGATATGCTGGTATAGGCCACATTCTCTGCCAAACCTTCCTCCTTCGGCCTCCCTTGGCTTCCATCCATGACTGTCACTGTCACTGCCCTCAATTGTCAATTGAGTGAAACTGAAATGAATGAAAAATGTACAAATGTCATGAAGCTTCGACACGTGCATTGACTGCTGCAAGCGAACCTCCCATGTGTTAGAAAAGTTACATTCCTTGTCCAACCTCTCCAACAAGTCTGTCATCTGACGTGATGGACGATTTCCATGTGGGCAACCCCATAACCAACGATCACCACTCTCTTCGGCCAAACGTAGGTTTTGCCGCCCAGGAAAACTGACCTCGAAGTGTTGGAGCAGGAGGCAGCTGCCGAAGAGCTCGGGTTGTCAATAGAGCTCACATCATCAGTAGCATCAATAGCCGGTTCGTGGTCTCTTGTTTCTCTCGGGGTCCTTCCACTGGCGTCCCCAATCGTCCGAGTCGTCTTCTTCTTTGCCTCGCCCCAAGTCACCGGAACTTTTCGTTGAGGCGTCTGCTTTCTTGCTGCTGTAGTTCCCGACATCGAATTGGCTGTATACTATCCCCAAGCTTTGATTGTGCCTCGAATGAACACGGAATTGTAATGATGAAAGGTTAAGCGCAAAAAAAAAGGGCTGCATGAATCTTTGCCAAAGTGCTGTCTAACGTTGTTGTTACAGGCTGACAGAATCCAGGCTTCTGGTTTGTTGATGCCGCCTTTTGACCGATTGAAAGATCTCCTCAAATGTTGTTGCATTGAAACAATGACATGTCAGGTAGCAAATTATTCTCAATTGGAAATTGCTCGGGCAGAGCAAATAGAGCAAGTAGATTGCTTGCTGTGCTTTCCGGAGATCCTGGCCCTGCTCCTCGAGACACAATTCCTCAGGGAGATGCTGGAGGGCCACACTCGACATAGCACAACTTGAGCCAGAACTGCAGCATTAGGTTACAAGGGGCTCACAATCAATCACCAAGCAAGCTGACACACACACACACACACTCACTGAGCCTTCCGCGCAAATATCACTCACATGCCTTCTGAAACGACTTCACCTGGCAAAATGCAAATTTCATGCCAGCCCTGCCCCCCCCCCGGCTCTGTCAAAACATGCCAGGCAGACCTTGCCATTGATGCTACCACAATAGTTATACTACCGCAAATCATGCTACCACAATTAGCGCTACCACAATTGTTGCTACCACAATTGACAAATTGATGCTACCAGAACTGATGCTACCAGAATTGATGCCACTGCAAAATCGAATCAACCAAGCCAAGCAATGCCATGCTGACTACCACAGTTGCTGCTACCAGAACTGATGCTACCAGAATTGATGCCACTGCAAAATCGAATCAACCAAGCCAAGCAATGCCATGCTGACTACCACAGTTGCTGCTACCAGAACTGATGGTATCAGAATTGATGCCACCGCAAAATCGAATCAGATGCCACCGCAACAATCGAAGCAATCAAGCCATGCAATGCCATGCTGACTACCACCATTGACATTGATTGATGCTACCAGAATTGATGCCACTGCAGCATCGAATCAACCAAGCCAAGCAATGCCATGCTGACTACCACAATTGATTGATGCTACCAGAATTGATGCCACTGCAGAATCGAATCAACCAAGCCAAGCAATGCCATGCCGACACAGTAACGGCCTCCCCAGCGTCTTTGCAAACACGAGCGTGCTCTGACAGTCATGCGGACTGGAGACTTCTTTAAATGCCACCCCCATTCGGCCAAGATGGGGTCACCCTGCTGAGTATGCGCCGGCAAATCAGGGCCTTGGACGTCGTGCTTGCCTTCTTTGCCCTATGCGGAGCGCTGAAATCCAATTGCCTTGCATACCGGCCCGCAAGAGGACAGGTCATGCTCGTCATCGAGTGCACCGGAATCGCTGCGCGACGCGCCGGTTACTGAAGACCTGTCAATGAGGCACAGCATAAGATGCCACGCGGGGCCATGCCGGCAAGCAGCAGTGATCGAAGTTAATATTTCGACCGTGGTGTGGGTACGTGGCATAGTATTTATTAGTAGCGAGGCCTTCCCTGCAATCTGTGTGCATTTCACCCCGCGGCGGACACACCACCTGGCTGGACAGGCGAGCAGCACACAGAGTAAATCCCCAGCGCCCGGCCAGCGACGCTGTCCCGCACGGATCAAGGACCCATTGCTCACGTGGTCCGAGCCCGACTGGAGCGGTCTCTAAGACCACTCTGAGCTGGGGCGTGCAGGATGGGTAGGGCGAGTCGAACCAAGCCAAGCAAGCCAAGCAAGCCAAGCAAGCTAACCAAGCAACCAAGCCAACCAAGCAGTGGCACGTGACAAAGGACCGTACACTAGCTAGCGTATCCTCCCGCCACCTCCCTCTACACCTCCGGGGAGTACGTAGCAAGCCTAGCTTAAGCTAGCTGGCTTCACGCAGTAGCACGGACAACACGAACTTCTCTCTTTTTAGCGTTGTGGCGAAGTCCCGCGTTAGCCCGGAGAAGAACTCTAGCCTTGGCTAGCTAATCTCCAGGGTGGGTTGGGTGGGCACTCGAAATTTGCCCCCCAATAGCTGGGGGCCTTTCAGCACAATGGCCACGGAGTAGCACTGCTTCACCGGCCATGTGCAGACACTCTAGCAAACAGACAAGCTTCGTTCTGTTTAGCTTCAGAGGAAAACCCCTTCGACGTTTTCTAGCGAAACACCTTCGATGTTTCCCAAAGGGATACTGGCGCTAGCATACACTGTCGTACCTCGTCCCTCGGCACGAGTGCGTACACTAGCTAGCGTATCCTCCCGCCACCTCCCTCTACACCTCCGGGGAGTACGTAGCAAGCCTAGCTTAAGCTAGCTGGCTTCACGCAGTAGCACGGACAACACGAACTTCTCTCTTTTTAGCGTTGTGGCGAAGTCCCGCGTTAGCCCGGAGAAGAACTCTAGCCTTTGGCTAGCTAATCTCCTTGCGCAGCCGTAGGGCTACCAGGGACCTAGCTTACGGGCCTTCTTAGCGAACCTTGGAGCCTTCGGCTCTCCGGTCCTTTTCCTCACTCCTAGCTCTTGGAAGTAGCTAGCCGAGTGTTCGAGGAGACGGCCCAGCACGCGCCACTCTAGCTTCCCCCCCTCCAGGTTCACCCTGAAGTCCGGGGAGAAACTAGCGAAGTTCTCGTTCGTGAGGTCGTCCGCTAGCTGGTTCAGATCCCTGCGGATCCACTGTAGCTGAAGCTCACAGTTCTTAGCGGAGAGTTCCTCTGCTAGCTCCATCAACACCAGGGTCGACGGGAACTTCGTCGTCATAGCCTTCTTCAGTAGCGCTTCGTTGGACTGGTTGTCAGTGTAGCCACGGATGGCCACCTTGGAGGTCTTCTTAGCGTCCCCTTCCGGTACCCAGAGCCTCACACCAACCAGAGTAGCCAGTAGCTCCAGCGCAGCTATGACCTTGTTCGGGTCTCCTTTAGCGAAGGCCCAGGGGGCCCATTCCTTCTTCACCTCTAGCGAGAACCAGGGACCGTGGCAGCCGTCCACTAGCTCGAGGAAGCCCCCAATCCAGGCACGTCCGTTCTCGGCCTTAGCGTCGGTGTAAAAGGAGAGCGGTGCCGCCCCGTCCAATAGCGATGCCGGCTTCTGGAGACGGTCCCCCGCTGCTAAACGGTCTGCTAGCCAGCCACAGAGGACGCGGATCATCGTGGGTAGCGTGAGGATCCCCAGCTTCCCTTGTACGGCTGAAGACCAGGCGTGTAGCGGTCCCAAGAAGGGGCGCTCCCAGTCTAGCGCCATGGAAGCGAACCCCAGGCGCCCTAGCCCCTGAGCAAAGGGCCGGGCCTCGCACTTCCCGTCACGGACTAGCTTCCGTAGCCATTCCACTAGCCAGTCGGTTCTCTTCTGAGACAGACCTAGCCTCCAGGTGGAGTACTCCGTCTCCATGCCTAGCCACTCCACCCGAAATCCCCCCCTCGTCTTGGCCCACTTGAAGGGGTACCCAAGACTAGCGAGGAAGAGATAGCTTAGCGGGATCCCCATGCGCCCTCTAGCCCCCCGGCCCAAGGACTCGAGGTCGTCGGCATAGAGGAGCATGTCTAGCGGGAACGATGGCCCTAGCAGGTGGTACGTGAGCCGAAGCCCACACGCCGCTATGCGGGTCCACCAGTAGCTCGCGCAGGATAGCCCGAAGGTCCCCACCAGGTTAACGTAACCCGTCTGGCTGTCGGGGTCCCCCGGTGTAGCTTCCTCGGTGTCGATCTGACACCCCAAGTAGCCATGCTCCCCTTCCGCATGCTTGTAGCGTCGGTGAGCCTTAGCGATGTCGCCCACCACGGAGAAAGCCACCTCGTTAGCGTCGATGTGTTCCCGAAGTAGCTGCTTCTTCTCCCTAGCTCCCGGGGCCCGGATCTTATCCCTGCACTTGATGCGGTGGTTGACCCGGACCCCGTGGGTAGCGTCGTGGATCATCCTCTTCTTTCCACTAGCTTCGTCCTCGACGATGACAGCTAGCGCGGCGATGGCTCGATGCTCGCCATAGCGGGCTTTGAACTCGCCTAGCGTCATCTTGACCATGAGGCCCTCCGCCACGTCCTCTTCGAACTTC